AATGAAAATGATACAAAAAAAAGTGGAAAAATATCATATGTTCCTGGACTGGAAGAATTAATATAATTTAAATGTCAATTATACCCAAATAATCTATAAATTTAATGCAATTTAGAACAAAGTACCAGAGATAGCCCTCACAGAAATAGATAAAGCAATCTTAAAATTGATCTAGAATCATAAAATGTCACATATTGTCAAAGCAATACTGTGCAAAAGGAATGAAGTAGGAGGCATCTCACTTCCTGACATCAAATTATGTGACAAAGCTGTGATAATCAAAACAGCATGGTATTGGTCCAAAAACAGGCAGGTAGACCAATAGAACAGAATTGAGAACCCAAAAATAACCCCCAAAACAATACAGCCAACTGATCTTCAGCAAAGGGCACCAGTCCGTCTAGTGGGCAAAGAAAATCTCTTCAGCAAGTGGTGCTGAGAAAACTAGATTGCTTCCTATAGAAGAATGAAACTGGACCCCTCTCTCTTACCATGAATAAAAATCAACTAAAAATGGATCAAAGATCTTAACGTAAAACTTCAAATTGTAAAAATACTGGGGGAAAACTGTTGGAGATTTTGGAGTAGGCAAAGACTTCCTAAAGAACCCCAAAGCACAGGCAATAGTTCCTAAAATAGACAAGTTGATCACATTAGACTAAAAGGATTCTCCACAATAAAAGAAACAATAATTAAGAGTGAGGAGACAACCTCAGAGTGGAAGAATATATTTGCAGACTATGTCTCAAATAAGAGACTGATAACCAGAACATACAGGGAAACTTTAAAAAAAAAAAAAATCGATCTCATCAAAAGATGCGGCCAATTAACTGAACAGACCTACAAGTAGAAGTGCTTCCTTCACCAAGGAAGACAAACAAATAGCCAAAAAGTGCATGAAAACATGCTCAACATATTTTTTTTCAGTGTTTACATTGCTGTGATTTTTTGTTTTTGGTTTTGGCTATAGGGTACATGTGCTCACCAGAGATAGACAGAGAAACAGAAAGCAAGAAATCACCCTCCTGGGGCATGGCCACATCACAGTCCTTTCTCCTCCATTCTGCTCTCAGGATTTTGGACACACACACACTCACACCTGGCGTGAGTCTCAAGCCACTGGGTCTGGGACTTGAACTGCAGTTGGCCAGTGGGAGTCCAGTGAAATAACTGCTATGCTATCTGCTGGCTCCAGTGTTTTTTAATTACATCTTACAAACATTATATATGGATCTTAGAATTAACCTGGTATTTTGCATCTGTAGTTGGGGGAACTTTTTTTTTTTCTTTTTTAGTTTTTACTATAGGATACATATGTTTGCTGGAGAGATGGGGGAGATGTTAGAAATCACCCCTTGAGTAGATGGCCATACCACAGCCCCTTCTCTTTCTCCTCTTGAAATTTTTGGCACACGTGCTCAGTGTGATTCTCTAGCTGCCAGGTCCAGGACTTGAAACACAGAGTCAACTATATAGGATCCAGCCATCTTAATCTCCATGCTACCTGTGGAGCATATTTTATAGGGGAAAGGTAAATCAGAACCATAATGCGAGGACCAGCAGTTGGCGTAATGGCTATGTCGCTGGACTTCCATGTAATGTACCACGGTTTGAGTCCCAGACCCAGTGGCTTAAATTCACGTTGGGCACATGTGTGTGCGTGCCCAAGACCCTGAGAGGAGACTGGAGGAGAAGGGATTGCAGCATGACCATCCCCCGCTGGGGCGTGACTTCTTGCTTTCTGTCTCTTTCTTGCGAGTGCATGCACTCTATAGCAAAAAAACTTCTCCCCCTCCCCCCCCCAAAAAAAAAACTAAACTAAAAACAAACCCATAATGAGATGCCACTGAACTGCAGTCAGAATGGCTAAAATTAAAAAATTAAAGAATGATTATTGCTGATATGGCTGTGATGCAAAGGGAACCGTCCTGAACTGTTGGTGGGAATGTAAATTAGTCCAACTGCTGTGGAGAATGATACAGTTGTTTCTCAAAAACCTACAAATAGAACTGCCATAAGAACCAGTAATTCCAGTCTTAGGTATCTACTCAGAGGATAGGAGAACCTTCAGTTGGAAAAACACCTGCACATCCATGATTATTGCAGCATTATTTACAATTGCTAGGATATGGAATCAATCCAAATATCGAAGAAGAGACTAATGGATTGAAAAAATTTGTCACTTGTACTCTATGGAATACTACTCAGCCATAAAAAATGAGACCCTGACATTTGTTAGAGAGTGGACAAATATGGAAGACTTAATGTGAAGTGAAGCGAGCTAGATTATTAAAAACAAGTATGTCCTCGCTCAGTATATATACTGAATGTCTGCACTCTATAGCAGAAACTAAAAGATTGGAAGGTATTAAAGAGGAGGGCAACTGTAGATTATAGAGACACTATGGGAGGGTAATAGAGGATGAATAATAGGGGTAGGGGATCATATGCTCTGTATTCATGCTGGGAAAAACCATATTGTACACTGTGCAGTGATTAAGTTTAAAGAAAAAAGAAAAATTTTATTTTCTGTCAGTGAAAAGAGAAATACTATCAGATATAAGCCATAGTGTACCTACGATAAAGAGAAATCTGTTACGTAGGGAGTCAGGAGAAACACAGCTATTCAAGAATAAGGAGAAAAAATTCTCATAAAACTGTAATATAAAGTAAAATTCCTTACCATCTCTATAGTAAATATAAAAGATTCTTTCAAAAAGCTGTTGTTTCTTCCTATTTATTTTTTTGGAGAGGTTTTTGCTATAGGGTGCTTATGCTCGTCAGATAGACAGACAGAGAGAAAGAAAGCAAGAAATCACCCCCCCAGGGGGGATGGCCAGGCTGCAATCCCTTCTCCTCCATTCTCCTCTTGGGATCTTGGGCATGCATGCACACGTGCCCTGGCATGAATTTAAGCCACCAGGTCCAGGACTTGAACCACGGCTGACTACATGAGAGTCCAGCGACGCAGCCACTATGCCATCAGCTGGTCCCAATTGAAGATAGTTTTAATGTCTTATTTTCTCATTAGACAGGTAAATTTGAATATAAACTATTCAGTGTAGAAAATATTAAACTATTCAGTTAAGCAGAAATAATGTTCTCCATAAATATTGTACCACTTTTCCATTCCCACCAGAATTGTAGAATACCACTTATTTTTCTGCAGCCATTGTGTGGTTATGCTTTTGAATTTTTATCAGCCCAATAGGTCAGAAATATAGCTTGGCATAGTTTAAGTTTTCATTTCTCTTTAAGAATCAGTGAGAAAGTACATCTCTGCATGTTTAAAGGCCATTTTACTTGTAAATTATTTGATCATATCTTTTTACTCATTTTTTTAATGTAATTTTTTGTTTTCACTTGGCTTTTAAGAATTCTTTGATTAAGATACAAAAGTAAGGTGTGTGTGTAGTGTTTCTAGGATTATAATGGGTGGCCCTAAATTTGTGTATATTTTTATGGAAATTAATGAATTCTGTTGGTTCTAGGAATGGTTCAAGTTGTTTCAGAAAATGAATTTATTCAGAATAGATAATTGCCATATGTCAAGCCCTTTGTTAGGCACGAAGGAGGCATTGGGGAACAAAGCAGGCCATGTTTTGGAGATTATTGTGTAATGGAAGACATTAAAAACACAAATATTAACTTAAAACTGCCATATGCTGTGTCATTAATAACAGATGTAGGTTACTGCCTGGTCAGAAAGGTTTTTAGTAAAGCTTTTTATAAGCATACCAGAGCTAACTGGTTTTTTTAGATTCATTCTTTATCATTATGATTATCATCATTAATTAGAACCATTTACCTAACAACTGAGCTAGTTAGGTGCATATCAACAAGTTCTACTGTGGTCAAAATGTTCATTGATTTTGCAAAGAGGAAGAACAATGAAACATACTTTCTAGAGTGTTTGGACTTACAGGTAGAACTAATTTTTCTTGGAAAACTATAGTTTTTCATCTTGGAAAATTTTGAGAATAAATATAGCATTTTGCTATGTTTACTATCTTATTTTGAATTTTTAAAAAATTAAGAGCTTTTGTTTTCTTTTAACAACTTTTGAAAATATAGATAGAAGTGGCATTTTATTAATCAGTGCAGTAAACATGGAGTATACATGAGATGATTAACCCTAGTGCACAACTTAAACTGAACAGTTACCTTCATCTTGTTGATAATGTTTAAGTATCTTTTTAAAAAATATTTACTTAGTTTTATTTATTCATTAATTCATTTTAATTTGACCAGAGATAGAGAGAAAGAGGAAAAGACAGAAAGCAAGCCACTAGGTCTGGGACTCGAACTGTTTTTGGCCATGTGGGAGTATCCGGTGCCTTAACCACCACGCCATGCCACCTGCTGGTCCCTGTTTAAATATCTTGAGAAACAGATGAAAACAATTGATATATAATCCAAAACTAAGTGTACAAAAGTATGCTTATATTTGAAATCATATCCTAATGTTCTTTATGGTATATAAATAAGGAAATTATTAATTAATTTCATACCATAGACAGTCGTCTTTATGAAGTATAGAAACAAATTTTCGTCTGTAAGAACTAATTCATTTTACAGTTGGTTAATAAACATATTAATATATGTTTACATACAAATATATATTATAAAAGTATATAACATATACTTGTAAATATTTAAATGTCATTTATTATAATTAGATTAAGTATGTTGAAAGAAATAGTCCCTAAATTTTTTTAGTTTTTAGTAATTTCCTTTATGATATTTATATTTTGAATTGACTTCCAATTATTATATTGATTCAGACTGATCAGTTTCTAAAATTAGTAAGCTGAATAGTAGTTTTTTTTGTTTTGTTTTTCTAAGCAATTGTTTTTAAAGCAGAGAATCCCAGGGAGCAAGTTGTATTACTGTTGAATTAAAACTGCCCAGTAAGCTCTATTCAGCAGCCCTTTACATGACCTCAGAAGAAAAATGAATTTAATGGGCATTTTGTCTCTCTCTTTTTTTTTTTTTTTCAGACACTGGCCAAAAGAAGACCCTAGACAAGAAAGATGGGAGACGAATGTCTTTTCAGAAACCTAAAGGGACTATTGAATATACTGTAAGTTATTTGCTTTAGAGATAGTGATTTGTCTTTTTAATAATCTTGTTTGTGACATTCTCTGTTTATACTATAAAGAAGGCAAGGATTGGATAACTGGCTTATTTCAAATATCAGTTCTTCACTTTGTCTTTTATTAACACTCAAGTTCTTAATTGTAATTTAGAATTCTTTTTTTACTTAGATATAAAGATAGTTATTCTAGTAAATTTAATATAACTCAGGAATCTAAGTTCATATACTACAATACTTTTTATTAGGTTAGACTTTCAGGAAAATATTTTGTTTTTTAGAAATGTGACCTTCATTATATTCCTGGCAATCCTAATGATAATGACAGAATACTTAAAAGATAAATTGATACTAATCTTTCATAATAACCCTCCTGTTACATCATTTGCATTGATTTATAGCTAAGTTTCTTTAGCTTTGAAAATGGAGCTTTGAGTGAAAGATCCACTTTCATGTGTGGTATACTACTAATTTGACTGAGTGTAAATATTGTTCAGATAATATTAGCATCTTGCAAAGCAGTTTTTACCTTAAGCTTAATTTTCTTATTAATGTTTTTCTAATATAACTATTAAGGAGAATGTAATAACTTTAAATATTAATTTAGCATTCATGTCACAATGAAACCTTCTAGACTTGTTTTGAATTTTGGTTACTTTCCATGAATTCTTAAAATGGAATAAATCAGAAAAAATTTGAGATATGCTTTATTTTCACATATTGTGTAATTGATAATTTTATATTCTCTCTTTTTAAAAATAGTTTAATTTTATTAATTGTCATTGTTATCATTATTATTATTTTAAATTTGACCAGAGAGAGAGAAAGAGGAAAAGTGAGAAAGCAAGCTACCATTATCAGCCATGTAGGAGTCCAGCGCTTTAACCACACCACCTGCTGGCCCCTTCTCATTTTTAAAAGATTAGGACAGGATAATTTATAGTTTATAGGATAATTTATAGGAGTTAAATTGATCTACTAATTGATAGTAGAGTTAACTACTATCAAAAGAATCTCTTTTTAAAGTATAGCATAAACTTAAACTGTGTGTGTTTGTACCTTCTTTGCATAATTGAGAAATTGAGACTGTAAGTTCAAACAGTAAAACACTGCATAATATAATTTGATGTATTCATCACTATTTATTAAGGCATGAGATTAAAGGCATAAAGCATGAGCTGTGTTTTCTATCCATGTAGTCATTTGATTGTAGGTAATTGTGAAAGTTTTGTTGGTTTCGAATTTAGAAGCTTACCAATCATTGCTTGTCATTTAATAAAAATTTATATTATCTGTAATTACATTAATTTAAGAACCACTATTTTTTGGAAAGGTTGATTGAAACTATCATTTTTTTTTTCTGATGTATAAATGGTCTTTGGAACATAACCAGAATAGTTACAAAGCATCTTCTAGCAGGTCTTTATTTAGATGTTTACTTATTAATTGTTTAATCCTTTGTATATTTCTATGCCAAATTTTAAAAGAAACAATTTTATTTCTAAAACTATGATATTATTATACTCTGTTCTTCACTATAATCTGTAAACTCTCTCTATAAAAGTCTGTAATATCTTTATATGACATCTCTATTTACAATTTTTATATAACATGATTCGGGTATTTAGGAAAGTATATACCCCCTATCTTTCTCTTTTAGAAAAACTTTGAAATATATGACATCTACTTGCCAATTTTGTTTTTTCTAAAATATTTATGATCTAGTTAAAGTGCATTTCCGGGTTATGTAAATACAGTATAAACAAAATTAAGCAAAATTAAAAGTACTTCATACTGGGACCAGCAGTTAGCATAAATGGCTGTGTCGCTGGACTCCCACTTAGTTTTCTGCGGTTTGCGTCCCGGACCCAGTGGCTTAAACTCACGCTGGGCGCGTGTGCGTGCATGCCCAAGATCCCAAGAGGAGAATGGAGAACGGATTGCAGTATAGCCATCCCCCCTGGGGGGTGATTTCTCGCTTTCTGTCTCTCTGTCTTTCTGGTGAGCGCACATGCCCTATAGCAAAAAAAAACACCTCTCAAAAAAAAGAAAAAAAAAACCTCACACTTTAGGTATACTCTAAAGTTAAAACCATATGTATGTTTATTCATAGGAGTTTATATGTATGGATATGTGTATAGATGTTTTAGTTTTAAATTCAGAGGAAAATCATTTTCAGTGGGAATCAAAAGTTAATCCTAAACATGTTATGTATTATCATTTTCTTTCCTGGTATTTTAATATCATTGTATTTTCTACAAAGTCCATTATTGCCACTAATAGTTTTCCAGTTATCAAATGATTGTGGCCTTTTTTGTTATATTTGTTAATGGCTCATCATTCTTTTATTTTCTACTTTTACCTTCTTTTTGAGATCCTAATACCTTTTAGTGATGGCCTGTGACTGAAAGGCCAGACAGTATCTCAAAAATCTTTATTGTATTCTAATTCCTAATAGTTAAGCTGTCTGTAGATTTCTAGGTTGACAGTTAATTTCTTTTATCACTTTGAAGATAGTAACCATTATCTTGTGTCCTCTTACCTTTTATTTTTTGTTGATTTCTATACAATCTTTTCTCTTCATTCTTTTAAAGTTTCCTCTGTATTTATAGTTCTACAAGCCACTGTAAGTCTAGGCCTAGAAATACTTTTACTTATCTTCCGTACTGTGTTTCTTTAGTCTAAGATTCATGTCATAAATAAATTTTGGAAAAATTGTTAGTCATTATCTTTGATTATATCCTCTCCTCTTTTCTCCATTTTCTGTCTGGAACCCTATTTTATTCTTTAAAATAGTTAAACTACCTTTTGCTGTCATTATACTTCATTGCCCTGGTATTGTTGCTTTCATTTTGATTATATCCTCCATCTAGCTGTTTGCTTCTTATTTTAAAAAAGAGTCTTTTGCCATAGGGTGTGTGCACTTGCTGGAGAGAGACAGAGATAGTAAGAGAAAAAGTGAGAAATCACCCCCAAGGGGGGATGGCCACACCTGAATCCCTTCTCCTCCATTCACTTCTTGGCATCTTGAAACCAGTGGTCTAGCACTGAATCACTGCTGACCATGTGGGAGTCCAGTGACGTAACCACTACACCATCTGCTGGCCCTGCTGTTTGCTTCTTAGTTCCCAATGTAAGTGTCCCTTGTTTGTCTTTAATTTTCCATTGACATTCTATTACTTTGAGAGCATAAGAACTTTATTGTAAGAACTGCAGGGAATGAGACCGATACTTTTCCTACTTCCGTCTTGCTAACTGCCTACATTTCCTGGAAACAAATATTATACTTGATATTTAACAAGTTACAGCAACTCTTCTTCCTCTCCCCTTCCATCATGCCAGTATACTTATTTTTATTTCTTTTCAGTATATTGTTCATCCATGTTGGAATTTTTAGAGTCAGCATTAGTTCAGCATTCACATTTGCTCTCCTGGCTTGCTTCTCCTTTTACTATAACTCTTTAATCTATGAATATTTTGAGTCTTGGTTGAATATTATATACCTTAGTCTTTTTCTCTATTTGTTACTTTAAATCTAGTCTATTTCTGCATCCATTGTTGTGTCCCATTAACTCTATCCTGTTGCCGATATGTCAGTTGGGCCGCCCTTGTCATATAATAACTGATGGTTTTTATCTTCATCGCCCTATTTAATAGTATCAACATGAAGATAAATATATGATTATTAATATGAAAATACATAGTAATACAGATATTTACTGCAAAATAATATTTGTTTTCAGAGAGCTTTCATGTGTATTACCTCAACAAGTTAGGTGTAGATCATTGTGTGGATGAGGAAGTTTGCAGAGAAGGAAGGAGGCGGAACTAGATTATTAACTGCAGTAGTTCTCATAAATTCGGTTTTAGAAAACCATTAAAGGAAATATATACATTTATTGCTTTTTGCACACACATGTTTTTCTTGACTTTCAAAGTCTTTCTACAATTTAATTTTGAATGTCTTTTTTTTTTTATTGCTTTTCTTTATTGATGATAGAGCATCTGCGTATGAGAAACAAAGAAGCCAGAGGTAGAGGGGCACCCTCCACAGGGGCTAGTCATGCCATGCATGATCCCCTCTGGTATTGCAGCTCTCTGGATCTTGGGCACTTGCACACATACCTGGTTTTTCCCGCTAACTGGGCTGCAGCAGAAAGGGGGCTGGATGTATGGGTCATGGTCACCATGTAGGATTGGCTTCTCTTGAACACTACATTACAGCTACCTCACAGAGCTGTTCCCTCTAAATGCCTTTACAACCCCATCTGTTTTAGAGATTTAACTCCAGATACTCAACTTCCTAAAAATCTGTTCTTCATTAATGTCGGTACAGTGTATGGTTTAGGAAAAAGAGTCAGTGTCCCACACATATGTTTTATCATTTTCTGTTTTAACCATGTCTGTTCTTTTCTCTTTGACAGATCTTTTTCCCTTATCTTTAATTCACAAGTTCTCTCTCTTCCTTTTTTTTTTTAAAGAATTATGTAATTCCATTCATTATTTTTTTTTTTCAATTTGACCAGAAAGAGAGAGAGAAAGAGAAAGTGAGAAAGCAAGCCACCAGGTCTGAAACTCGAACCATGGTTGGCCATGTGGGAATCCAGCACATGCGTAATGTTGCACTATTTGAAAGTCAGGGTTTGTTTAGTTACAATGAGCTCTTTCTACTCTAGTCATTGTTAATATTGCTATAATGAACACTCTTGTACATACCGGTTTTTCTTTTTATGCAAGTATTTCTGTAGGGTAAACCACCATGCCACCTGCAGGCTCAGTTCTACCTCTTTTAGAACCGGCTTTAATTTATTTTCCCCCCTAAAAAGTCTTTCCTTTTATAATTAGGAGCATATGATGCTCTACCCATACTCAAAACTTCCATTGTGCATTTGTTGTTTCATTTTAAATTCCTTTTTTTTTTTTTTCTTTTTGGTTATAGAGCATGTGTGCCCACTAGTGAGAGACAGAGAAAGCAAGGAGAGAAAGTGAAAAAGCATCCCCCCCACCCCCAGGAGAGGTGATGACATTCAAATCCCTTCATTTTCCTCTCAGGCTTTTGAGCATACACATACAGGCGCCCAGCATGTTTTTCAAGCCTCCAGGTCTGGGACTCAAACTAGAACTCACACTGTGTAGTTATCTATGTGAGATCCATCCACCTTAACCACTATACCACTTGGCTGGGCAGATCCTTATCTTTTATATAATTTTTAAATTTTATTTTTTAACTAGATTGTTAATCCCTTGTGCACTAATGCCACTTAGTTGCTTTTCAGCACTTTCAGAATGCCTTATGTAAAGGACTCTAAAAGATTATATTGACTGACCAAATGGCTTTTTCTTTCAGTATAATTGACAAAATCCATTTATTTAAGATTTCTACAGTTTTGATCATGGAAATATACTAATGATTTAAAGTAGACTACTTAACTTTGATTCAAAAATTTCTCTAATTTATATATGTGAATGGCAGAATATATACATAAAGGTCTTTAGAAATAACATTTTGAGTTTAACGCAGATGTACTTTGTTATAATTAGTGTGTTTCTAAAAGTTGCATATATTTGAGAAACAATTCAAAGGAATAGCATATTATTTTAAAGTCTTTGTAAAATAAAACCATTTATCTGTTTTCATAAATTATATTTTGTATTCTGAAATATCTTGAAGTAAAAGCCTATGTATTATGATCTATCGTGATAAATTATGCACTCTGTATCATAGATTGAGACTTTTACTAACAAAACACAGTATTTCTTTACAGTTTATCTTCAAAGGTAAAAATGCCATTTGTTAATCAAATATAAGATTAACCTCTAGATGTATTATCATTAAATCTTACAGGTTAGCTTTTCTCTATAACAGATTAAAACTGTTTTTTCTTTTAAACAGGTTGAGTCAAGGGATTCATTGAATAGCATAGCCCTGAAATTTGATACAACACCCAATGAACTTGTTCAATTAAATAAGTTATTCTCCCGAGCAGTTGTTACTGGACAGGTAGTATCTTTTTTAATGTGTTAATATTTAGAAGCATTAAGTAACATGCAGAAAGTATTCATTACGTACTTAATAAAATAGAAAAATTGAGAAGAGTAATTATGTGCATACTTTGAAAGTCATACTGGCCTCTGGGCATGTGTACGTGCGTGCTCAAGATCCTGAGAGGAGAATGGAGGAGAAGGGATTGCGGCGTTCTCATCCCCCCTGGGTGGGTGAGTTCTCACTTTCTGTCTCTTTTTCTAGCGCATGCACGTAAAACCTCTACCAAAAAAAAAAAATCGTATTGGCCCTATAACAGAAAATTAACTATCATTTATATCTCTCTGAGTTTTTTCTTTTTTAATTTTTGTATATATTCAATCACTGTATATCATTACAGCATGCAAAATGAATTTTTCCAGCACGAATATACTTCATTTTAGTCCAGTTAAAATTATCATACAAGTTATCATCAACAGATAATTTTCCATTGAAATGACCTCCCCTTGTGGGGGGATGGCCATGCCTCAATCCCTTCTCCTCCGTTTTCCTCTTTGGATTTTGTGCACACATGCCCAGCTTGAGTTTCAAGCCGCTAGGCCTGGGACTTGAACCACAGTTGGCCATGAAAGCGTCCAGCAGTGTGACCATTGCATTATCTACTGGTACCAAGAAATCCCACCATTTTTAAAGATAAGGTTTTCTTCCATCTCAAATTTCATTTCCTTTCCACAAGCCACCAGTTACTAGTTTGCATCTCTATTCAAAAATATTCTAGCATTTCATTTCTTTAAAAATTTTAAGTTGAATTCATACAGTATGTCTATTTAAGCACAGATATATTTCGAGGTTTTTCATGTGTGCGTAATGTTGCACTATTTGAAAGTCAGGGTTTGTTTAGTTACAATGAGCTCTTTCTACTCTAGTCATTGTTAATATTGCTATAATGAACACTCTTGTACATACCGGTTTTTCTTTTTATGCAAGTATTTCTGTAGGGTAAATTTCTAGTACTAAAATTATTGGGTCAAGGATATATACATTTTAATTTTGCTAAATATTGGCAAATTGTTCTTTAAGAGGAACACATTTATTATTGTGAGAATTACTCCTTCTTCACCGTATTCTAACAATAGGTATTATAGAAAGTGTCTAAATTGATTTTAAGTATACTTCTTTTTTTTACTTTATTAAACTTATTATGGTAATAAATATTCTTGTAATCTGAACATTTTTGTTTTTTCGTTTATTAGGGAAGGCCATTATTGATGGTGTTTGTTTATAGAACACTGTCTGATTGTCGGCATTTCAGTTTGACTGAATCTTTGTGTGAATGTTTTCTTACAGGTTTTATATGTTCCTGATCCTGAATATGTCTCCAGTGTTGAGAGTTCTCCATCTCTAAGCCCCATAAGCCCTTTGTCACCAACATCATCTGAGGCTGAATTTGATAAGACCACTGTAAGTATTCCTGCCATTCAGATCTGGTTATGAAGAAAGCTTACTGAATATACAGTAGTCGTTTTTTCAGTCTTACTTTTATAGGCTCAGAATGAAATTCTATGTTTTTTTTGGTTACTTAAATTTGTAAATCAAACTTTTTTTTTTTTTTTCCTATTTCAATTTTGCTATATGGCTCATGTGCTTGTCCAAGAGAGAAGAGAGAAGGGAGAAAACACCCCCCAAAAGGGAGGGCCATGTTGCATTCCTTCTCTTCCATCCTTCTCTCAGGATTCTGTTCATAATCACACATGCACATAGTGTGTTTTTCAAGCCACCATGTCCAAGACTTGAACTGAACAGTCAGCCATGTTGGATCTTACTGCCTTAACCACCACACTGCCACTTGGTCCTGTAAATCACAGCTCTTAAAGTAAGAATTTTTTCTCTTTTTTGCTTATAATTAAGAAGAGAGTTTATGTTAAAAAAAAAAAAAAGTTTATTAGTGTATTTCTTTCATGAGAGAGAGAGAAAGAAAGAGGGACAGGCAGCCCAAATAGGGTCTTCATGCTGTAATATATCCCCCATCTCAGCCAACCCAGACCATAAGCGTACATGTGCACCCAGTGTACTCAGGAGGGTCCTTGGACACAAACCCAGGACTTTTCCAAGATGGGTCTAGCTGTGCTACCACTATACCAGTGCCTGGCCCCATTAAAGTGAAACATTGTTATTAAGCTAAATAGTTTAAATTAACTTCCCTTTGGTGGTAATGATGGTCATGGTGGTCCAAAGATTTTCATCAACTCTATTTTATAAGTACCATATAAAATTTTACTTACAAAGGGGTTTTACCTAATAAAAGTGGGAATATCACAATGGTAAGTCCACATCAATTTTATTTTAGTTTAGTTTTTATGAATATTTATATAGTACTTACACTTTTGAATGAGTTTATTTTTTGACTCATTGCCTTTTAAAAAATAAATTATTGTAATCTTAGTCATTTTCATGAGTTTTAACAGTCAATTAATTTATCATTGTTTTAAAGAAGTTTTTGCCTCCTTAGGGCACATGCGCTCACCAGAGACAGTGAGAGTGAAAGTAAGAAATCATCCCCCAAGGGGGATGACCACAACACAATCCCTTCTTCATTCTCCTCCCAGGATCTTGGGCATAGTTTCAAACCACTTGGTCTGGGACTTGAACTGCAGTTGGCAACGCAACCATTATGCCACCTGCTGACCACCTCTAATTGAGCATTTCTAAGGAAAGTGTGTTCTAACTTACATTTTATAAGTGAATTGCAAGGAACCAAACTAATAATTTTGATAAAATTTTATCTGAAAGGAATTTGATATATTTTGTTTCTTTTCTGCATAAATCAATGCTAATTTTCTATTTTCATAATGACCTATTATTTACATGTAAAAGACTTTATTTCTTCATTAAATGGCCAGATTCATGTGGGAGATTCTTTTTTATTGCTCTCTTTGTATTCAAAATTTAGGATACCAAATGCCAAACTGATAACAAAACACAAATAATTAACATTAATTTTCCTACTCTTATTCATTTCTATGCTCAGGTATTCTACTTTAATTCCTTTTTTTGTAGAGTAAATTACGTATTATTATTGATGACTGTTTTTTTCCATGCTCTGCCTTTTTTCTGAGTATGTGTGTGAGAAAAAGAGAAGTGGGGTCTTTTTCAAATGTTTATTGGGTATCTTATTTATAAATGTGGCAACATTGTACTTTAGAAAGCAGTCATGTAAAATAAATGTAATAATTTATTGTCATCATTGATAAGAATAGATGTCAGGTTTAATAATAGATAATGTTGATCAAACAATATAAGAACACCATTTTGAACATAGGCATCCCATTTTCCATAAAACTTACAAAGAAATGTAAGGGGCAATGACAAAAGAAAATTGTGTAGTTTTAGGTTAATTTGGCTTGTGTTTCAAACTCTGAAGTAGAATTATAAAAGCTAGACTATAGGATCTTGCCTAACTAGAGAACTGTGAGAACCCCTCCAGTCCCTCAGCTTTAACCCAGATCCATTTACCACTTGGCTTTCTCAGCATAAGATCAAAAAAAGAGTGTTAAAGCTCAAGGGAAAGCCCAACTTCCTCTATGTAAAAATGCTCCATTCCTCGCTTTTGCTGTGTGTAAGAGGGAGAGAAGAGTGAAGTTATAGGAATGGCCTTTTAACCATCAATAAGTTTAACAACTGTCAACAGCGGCCACCAAAGTATTCTCACATATGACCAGCTGTATGAATAAACTTTTTCTCTCTGGGATGGAAAAAGGAAAGAGTTAAGAGGCAGAAGAGTTCCTGAAACTTGTTTTTATGGAATAATATTGAACACCTGCTTTAAAAATAGTTCGTGGACAGTAGTTAAAATAATTCTTTTCAACGGTGATTTTGTAAATTTTACTTTTTTTTTTTTTGGCCTAGAATAATATTTATTACCAGGTTCCAAAATAATATCCCTATACCATATACCTATCTCAAGTGCTTACATTCTGTATTTTAATTTATAGGCTTAGTTCTTCAATACTACACACACACACACACACACACACACACACACACACACAGAATGAGAAGGAAAGTAAGAAATCAGCCCTTCAGGGAGATGGCCATGCCACAATCTCTTCTCCCCCATTTTCTTCTCAAAAATTTGGGCATGCATGCATATGTGCCCAGTGTTTTTCAAGCTGCCAAATCTAGGACTTAAAAGGTGTAGTTGGCTGTGTGTAACCCAACCACCCTAGCTACCACACCACCGGCTGACCCAACCCCTCTCTCTTTTTTTTTTTTTTTTTGAGGTCTTTTTT